GGGGGGTCTTGGGCTATAGAAGTGGGGGGGGACTGTCACTATAGAAGTGGGGGGTCTGTCACTATAGTAGAGTGGGGGGTCTGGGACTACAGAAGAGGGGGGTGTCTTTGAGTATAGAAGAGTCGGGCAGTATGGGAATATAAAAGTGTGTGGAGGGGTCTGGTACTATAGAAGAGTGGGTGTGGGGTGGTCTGTGACTATACAAGAGTGGGGGTTCTGGAACAAAAACGGGTGGGACAGCTCTGCCACTATAGAAGAGTGGGAGAGGTCTGGGAGTATAGAAGAGTTGTAGGGGTCTGGGACTACAGAAGAGTGGGTGGGGGTCTGGGACTATATAAATGTGTGTGTGGGGTCTGGGACTTTCGAAGAGTTGGGGGGATCTGGGACTATAGAAGTGGGGGGGGTCTGGGACTATAGAACTCGGGGGGTAACTGGGACTATAGAACAGTTGTCAGGTCCAGGACTATAAATGACTTGGGGGTTCTGGTACTATAGAAGAGTGGGGGTGTCTGGGACTATAGAAGTGTTCAGGGGGTTGGGACTATAGTAGAGTGGGGGGGCTGGGACTATAGAAGAGTGGAAGGGGATTCTGGGACTATAGGAGAGTGGGAGACTCTGGGACTGTAGAAGAGCAAGGGGTCTTGGACTATTGAAGTGTGTGGGGGGCGTCTGGAATATAGAAGTGTGTGTGTGTGTGTGTGTGTGTGTTGGGGTCTGAGACTATAGAAGAGTGGGGGTGTGGGGGATTATAGAAGAGTGGGAGGGATCTGGGAATTTAGAAGAGTTGGGGGTCTGGGACTATAGAAGACTGGGGGGGGATCTGGGACTACAGAAGCGTGGGAGGTGGGTCTGGGACTATAGAAGAGAGTTGGGGGGGTCTGGGTCTATAGAAGAGTGTCTATGTTGGTTCTGGGCCTACAGAAGAGTGGGGAGGTCAGGGACTACAGAAGGGGGGGTCTGGTACTATACAAGAGTGGGGGTCTTGGATTATAGAAGGGGGTTTCTGGGATGGGAGAGTGGGGAGGTCTGGGACTATAGAAGTGTCTGTTTGGGGGTCTGGGACTATAGAAGAGTGGTGTGGTCTGGAACTATAGAAGAGTTTGGGGGGTCTGGGACTATAGAAGAGTGGTGGGGTCTGGGACTATACAAGATGGGCAGGTCTGGGTTTATAGAAAAGTGGGGGAGTCTGGGACCATAGAAAAGTTCGGGATCACGGATGATAGAAGAGTTTGGGGGGTTCTCGGACTATAGAAGAGTGTGGGTGTCTGGGACTATAGAAGAGTGCATGTGTGGTGGCGTCTGGGACTATAGAAAAGTGTGTGTCTGGGGGTCTGTGAATGTAGAGAGTCGGGGTCTGGGATATAAAAGTGTGGGGGGGGGTTCTGGGACTAAAGTTGGAGCGGTCTGGGACTATAGAAGTGTGGGGGTTCTGGGATTATAGAAGAGTGGTGGGGTCTGGGACTATAGAAGTGTTGGGGGGATCTGGGACTATAGAAGAGTGTGGGGGGGTTGGCATTGTAGAACAGTAGGGGGGTCTGGGACTTTGTGCCCAGTTCTCCAGCATGTAGGGCGATG